TTTTTTTTTTGCTCAGCAAAAGCAGAGAACCAAATTGAGCTGCACTCAAATTATAGGCCAGGATGAGGCTGGAGATGTGATTCCTAGTAAAGATCCACACCTGCCTGGATGCCACCACCACCTCCCACTACCCCTCTGCCTCTGGTCCCTGCCCTGCAGGAAATTCATCCGGGTAATGTCCTTGATGATAGATATTAACCTGCCTGCAGCATCTCACCATCCCAGCAGCTGCAAGGACCCAAATGACTCTAACACAGCAGCCCACTGTGAGTAAGGAGCTGCTGGCACAGCCTGTGATTATGAGCAATTGCAGCAGAGATGTTGCAGCAGCAAATTCAGAGATGTTTCTGAAGTTTGGGAGCAAAGTAAGTTATAGAAAAACAAACGGCAGGCTAAAAGAAGACTTGGAAGCAAATTCAGGTGGCAGAGGGGAAGAGGAAAACATGACTGGAAGTGTTCAAGGAGGTGGGACAGGGCTGGAGCAACCTGGGGCAGTGGGAGGTGTCCCTGCCCGTGGCAGGGGTGGCACTTTAAGGTCTCTTTAACCCAAACCATTCTGGGATTTTATGATTCTTGTTACATCAGAAAAAATGGGAGGAAAAATCAAGGATAAGGCTCTCCCTGCCCAAGCCCAGCCATGGCTCATTAGAGTTTTTTTCCCCTCAAAAAGAGGTTTCCAGGTTAAGAAAAATGCTGTATCTGAAGTGCTTGTGGGGTGCCTGTGGCCCAGCCCTGTCCTTCATGGAACAGTGCAGGTGTTTTCCTTGGGAATTACAGGGCTGGCCAAGGAGTAAAGGGTTCAAACTGAAAAAGGGGAAATTTGGGTCAGACTTGCAGAAGGAATTGTTCCCTGGACGGGTGGCAGGCCCTGGCACTGGTGCCCAGAGCAGCTGTGGCTGCCCCTGGATCCCTGGCAGTGCCCAAGGCCAGGCTGGAGCAGCCAGGGACAGTGGGAGGTGTCCCTGCCATGGCAGGGGTTTGGAATGGGATGAGATTTCCAACCCAAACCATCCCATGATTGGAATGGGATGAGATTTCCAACCCAAACCATCCCATGATTGGAATGGGATGAGATTTCCAACCCAAGCCATTCCATGATTCTGTGATTCTGTGCTGTAAGACCACCCTAAAACAGGTGACCATGAACGGGGTCCCTCCCAAACACCCAGGGTGTTTCCCTGCACCACTCTGAGCTCCACAAGTTCCTGCAAAGGCTGTGGATGCTCCTGGGGGTGGGCACAGGTAAAGAACCAGAACCAGAGGGGTCCCTCCAAAGCATGGCCACTCTCCCCGTTCCTGGTTAGCCAGGCAAATTGGAACCTTTCGAGGTGAAGATCTCTCTATCCCATTACCGGCCATAAAGACCATCTGCTCCCTTACTTCCTGATTAAAACAAACAACAAAAAAAAAATGGTGCACGCCGCACATCATCCATCAGAATTAATCCAACTCACTTTGATGAGTGCCTTTTAGGGGGATGGGGGCAGGGGGAAAAAAAAAACCAAAAAAACCCCAAAAAACTGAGGACAATGATGGGAATTCATCCCGCCGCGGGGGGGAAAGACCCCAGAGCGCTCCATCCATTTCCCTCCTGCTCCATCTCCCGGAGCTGGGGATGACCCCGAGCCTTTCTCCCTCCGTCCCGGCGCGCCCGGACAAAGGGCCGCTATTGTCCCCGCCGTACCTGAGCTGTCCATGGTGCTGCCGCCGGGCTGCTGCTGCTGCCGCTGCTGCCGCTGCTGCTGCTGCTGCTGCCGCTGCTGCTGCTGCTGCCGCTGCTGCTGCTGCTGCTGCTGCCGCTGCTGCTGCCGCTGCTGCTGCTGCTGCTGCCGCTGCTGCTGCTGCTGCCGCCCGGGGCTCCGGCCCGGCCCCTCAGCGCCGCTGTCCACCAGCTGCAGGGATTCATAGCCGTCACCGCCCGGCTTCTTGCGGTAGCTCCCCAGCAGGCTCATGGGCGAGCCGGGCGGGCGAGCGGCTCCGGCGGGCAGGGGACGGGGAGGGATGGAGGGACGGAGGGAGGGCACGGCGAGCGCTCCGGCCGCCCCGAGGGGAGGGGAAGGGAGGGGAAGGGAGGGGAAGGGAGGGCCCGGAGCGCGGCCGCCGCCCCGCAGCCGCCGGAAGCGGGCGGGGAGGACGGAGCATCGCGCTGCTGCCGCCGCCGCTCCGCGCTCGCCCGGCGCTGCCTCCGCGGCGTGCCCTCCTCCGGCCCCCTGGCCCTGCCTTCTCGCCTCACCCCGATAGCGAAACTGTTCTAAAATCATGCGGGTTTAGGGTTAGAGGGAAAATTAAGCTTGGTAGGCCCTGGGAGAAATGCGTTGAGAAAGCGTAAGTAAGGCTTGTACTTGTTAAAACTGCACCTGTGTATCATATATAAATGATATAATAGATGTGTTAGATGTAGGTATAGATATATAATAGACATGTTAGATGGGATGGTTGTTTAGTAATTAAATATAATTGCTGTTTAATTGTAGGAATAATCGTGAGGAACTGATCTAAGAAAGATCAGGAGAAACTCATGCTTGAATAAAGCCAATGTATACAATAGAACAATATAAGTTAAATAATTAATATGTAAGTTATATAAGGATAGAATATAAAATACGTTCAGCTTGAAAGCCGTGTGGGAGTCAGATTTGGGGCTGTACCCCTGATCCCCAATACAAGCACCTGCAGGTGCGTTCCTGCCGAGGGCACTGCCCGCTGGCACTGCCCGCTCTGCAGCCTGCAGCGCCAGGGGTGGCACAGCACCTCTGCCCCAAAATCCCGAGGAGCACCCCTGGGCCACAGCTGGGCGTGGGCAGGGAAGCAGAGGTGCCCCAGCAGTGATCCCGGTGGGAAGAGGCACCAACATCCCCAACCCTGGCTTGTGCCACCGCTGCCTCTGGCTCCCCGCGGTGCCACCGGCTGCTGAAGCCGTTTTTGTTGTTGTCACCCATCTATTTTTAGCTGTTCCCATGAAAACAGACTCGGGACCGAGCAGAGCGTGGCCCTGAGCGAGTGATGAGCTGTGCCTTGCTCAGATGCAGTTTTCAGCCAGGCCTTGTGCACCGTAATTTCATTTTGCACAGATCAGAGGAACCCAGGGATGCTCCAAAGGAAATGAGCACTATTAAACTCTTCTAAGTGGATTTCTTTGTGATTTAGGGAAAACTAAAGGCAAAAGGAAGTCCTACGAGCATGCCTTTGATCTCTGGCAGAAAGGGAATTTCTCTGCTCAGAAATTAGCCCAGCTTTGTTTCTAAAGCAGTGACATCAATAAGCAAGGCCAGGCTGGACAGGGCTTGGAGCCACCTGGGATGGGCGAAGGTGTCCATGCCGTGGCAAGGGGTGGGCCTGGATGAACTTCAGGTTCCAACCCAAATAATTCTGGGATTCTCTGCTTCCAATCACTTGTGTAGCAACAGCCGAACCTTGAGGTGTCACTGGCACCTGGCTGAGATTTCCTGGCTGAAATTTCCTCTGGGGCAGCAGACATCTGGTGCAGCCCTACCTTGTCATGTGCTATTGTTTATGTAACCCCTGAGATTTCATGGCACAGACAAGGTACATCCGTGACCCAGAATCTCCCCAGAAAAAAACCCGGCAGATTTACAAGCAGCAAACAAAAAAATGAGCTGACCTGACATGAGCAGCTCCCTGTCAGCAGCAGGAACAACTTGAACTCCAGGTTGGGGTTGTGTTTTCTACCCCCTCCATACTTTGGTCTGTGTGGAGCAATTCATGGATTGCAACACTGGCCGGCAGGGAAGGGCCCCTCCCTCTTGGCACCCACAAGCAGTACGTTAAGAAAATTAAAAATAAACACATTTTCTGTGGCATTTTGTGCATTCTGAGCAACCTGGGCTAGTGGGAGGTGTCCCTGCCCTTGGCAGAGAGTTGGAACAAGGTGGTTTTGAAGGTTCTTTCCAACCCAAGCCATTCCAGGATTCCACAATCTTTACTAGGGATCACATCTGTCAGCCTCTCCTGGTCAGTCTAGGATAAAGCAATTCCTGGGAAGTTTCTGGGGGTGGAGGTGAATTTTCATTTGTTTTGCTTGCTCAGGTAAAGCCCAAACACTTCAAAACATGTGGAGGAGAAACCTGGCAGGACACAAACCCTGCAGAGCCTAAAACCCATCACCCATCAGCTCCAGAGCCTCAGCTTGGACAAAATTCCATATTCTCAAATAATCCAGCAGCCACTCTCTCACTGCTGGGCAGCCAAGGTCTGTCTGCCTCAGCTTTTTTGGGGGAAAAAAACCCAAAAATTGCTCCTCCTGTTGAATCTGCTATTAATTCCTTTCCTTGCCCGAGGTTTTGGGGGGTCACAGAGTAATCACCACCACAGCCTGGAGCTCCAGCTGGAAAAAGGGGGTTCTGCAGAGCACCAAGGGACAGAGCAGTCACTCCAGGGGGTTTTGGGGAACAGCAGGAGAAGGAAACAACTTCCAAGTCCCACCCTTGCTTGTACGAACTGAAGGGTTAGGGAATCCTGTGGGGTTCAGGTGAAGCTGCGCTCTTCCAGTGGGAAGTTTAGCTGAAAAGAACATATAAAATAATGTTTCCCTCTCCTTCCCTTCTCTGTGTAAGTTGGGCTAAAAGCAGGGCCATGTGGTTTCTCTGGTTTTTGGAGAATTACAGTATAAAAAATGCTATAACAACAACAACACCAAAAAAAAACAAAAACCCAACCAAAATCAAATAACTTTGAATTGCACATGACTTTCAAAGCTGAAAAAAAAAAGGGAATGAACCCCTCAGAAATATTCATTTATTGAGCAGTGGCTGGTGAGAGATCTGAGGGGCAAGGCTGGCAGGGGCCAGGAGGGCTGGGGAGCTGTTAAGGACGTGCTAAAGAGGATTTTGTGTTGCTCAAGCCTCAAGAGATACAAACTCTCCTCATTCCTGACCTTGGGGAAAATTGATTTGCCAACCTCTGGCTGTTTTTCTCTGTCTGGGTCGCAGCCTCTCCTGGGTAAAGTCTCTCTTTGTTGCTGTAACCAAGCCCCAACTGTCCTGAGGTGCAATTCCATTTTCTGCCCCTCTCCTCCCATCAGCTGAAGAGCTCAGGTGAATTATTATACCCGGAATTCTTCAGGAGGACAATTAAACTGGGGAGTGCTGTTAGAATTGCAAATAGAGCTTGAAAATTAATGGAATACCTGGAGCAATACCTTTAAA